GCTAAGTAAGCAGATTTGAGTACTAAGAATAGTACTTTACCATATTACCTTAATTATAATAAGGGGACCATCTTATCAGAAGGACCTAAAAATCATAAACATCTATGCACCTGATAAAAGATTTTCTAAATAAATGAAGCAAAAATAGGGCTGCCAGAGAAAAGCCTCAACACAGTTTTATACATCCATGGCTGCTTTTACTGGCTTAAAGAGGGCATAAAAGAAAATGTAGGGTTTCCAGGGTAGGTGAAGGTCTTGCTTGTGAAAATGGCTTAAGGCTATTCTCACTTTACACCTCTATACCCACAGAAGTGTAAAGGAGTGTAAAGGAGTTTTCTCTTCTGCTCCTGGCCTTAAGGTGTACAAGAGCTGCCACATCCAGAGGTAGATAATATTTTATTTCCCTGTAAGTTAATCAGTGTTCTATTTTGGCCTAGAGATTTTTTAACTTTGCTGTAACATTTTCTTTCTACTTTCATAAAATAATTCTGCACTCTTTCACCCATTTGGCTTGATATTTTTTATCCCAGGCTATATTTTTCTGCTAAAGGGAGTCAAAGTAGGAAAATTATTACATGTGAACTATTACCCACAAAGGGTATATTTAACAAACTCAAGTGGCTTTTTTGTATATACATATTCAGTCTAAGCAAGATGAAACAGAATTTCCTACTGGAAGTAAATAAATTTCCTCATCCACAGAGTTCTTTGTGTATCATCTGTAATAAGTGACAGATACTGTCTAGATGATCTCAGATTTACATAAGTGGTGCTTACTTGGGCCTCAGCAGCACTGTAGAGTTCACAGAGAATTAATTACTCCAGGAGTTGATCTGGGTTCAAGAGCCTTGAGGAATCTCACATGAGGAGACACCAGGACAGACAACAGAAGGTTTTCCTCAGATAAAGGCCTAGACCAAAGGAACAGGAATATGCAAGGTACAACACATTTCCTACCCATTCTGTAAGACTGAGGGCTAATTTCAAAGTGCCTTGGTGCTGCAATGTGCTAGAAAATGTTTCCATTCTCCTCTGGGAACTAAGCTTTCCATAACATGCAGTTTGGCACTTCTCATGAGGCAGACTTCTGTAGTAAACCCTTAATGAATTTCTACCACATTGAATTCTGAATTATTTGAAAAACAGGCATCTTTGTGACTATAAAATGATGATTAGATCATAAACAAAAAGAACTTAGCTACTTGTCCAATGACCTTGAGAAAATCAGTCAACAATCCCACAGCTTACTTTCTGCATCTGTGCTACATAAACACATCAGTTGTTGAAGCTCAGATGAAATGTGGGAAGAATGTCATTTTAATTAGAGCTGTATAACTGTATGCTTTCACAGTTGTTGGTAGTAAGATGTTGGACAGAGATTTTTTTAGAGTTCAAGAATAGGTCAAATTTATATATCAGAGAAAGACACAAAGATCTGACATGTAGGTTTACCGTTGTGGTTTATGATTGACTGGCAATAACAAGCAATTCATTGACCAGAAGAAATCAACCAGAAAACTGTTTTACTTAAAAGAAAATTATGGGGCCTGGGGAGATGGCTCAGTAGAATAAGCATTTGCCTGGCAAGCGCAAGGGCCTGAGTTCAATCCCCAGTTCCACCAGAGAGACAGGGAGGGAGGGAGGGAGAGAGAGAGAGAGAGAGAGAGAGAGAGAGAATATGAATTATGGTTGCTTCTTGGTAGATTGTACAAGGTTTCAAGCTGCCTTTGGCTTTTCAGCCTGCCCTGTCTTCCATCATCCCTAGTGTAAGCATCAATCCAATGCCCTTGAGGAGCAGAAGGGAAACAAGTCTGAAGAAATTTTGCAAGCTCACCTTTCACAGATGTTCTGGAAGTCAGAAAACCACTAATAAAATGTTTACTTTATAGCCAGTATCAACTTATGGCTTTTCATTAATTGTAGGCATGTATACCTGACTTGGTATATTTCTCTGGAGGAAATAGTACTAGCAGTTTTCTTTCCGCAGTTTTCAGAGATCAGTTATAGGTACTTATCATCTAGTGCACCAACACTGCAAATGAGAATGTTTATTTGGAGTAGAACAGGACATACCAAACAACCACTAAGTTGAAGACAAAGTGCATTCCTAAGAAATCCAACAGGACAGCATTTAGTATCATAATGAACATATTCTGCCTGACTTACTTCTAAGAATCTTGGCATGTAGCTATCAATAAAGACTGTTAAAGAAGAAATTAAATTAGGTGGTGTTAAATCATGTTTTCACTAGTTGACCCCTCAATTTAAAGTGGAAAATCATGCTTTCAATTAACCTCAATTTTACCACATATAAGACATCTACATTCCAGAAATTAAAGGCAGTAGTTAACTCATCAAGATATCAATAACAAACAGACAACACACTTAAATGAGGATAATTTGAGGACTGTTTAATTAGAAAGATACAGGTAGGATGAAAGGTACCTTATGAGATAGTTTGTAAATCCAAGTCTGACAAAAGAAGAGATAATTAAAATGAGCAAGTAATCTTGACAGTGGTAGGGACATTCAATTTTAGAGACACAAGCCATCCTAACTGTGACTCCACACAGAGGAAGCCACAAAAATAAATACTTTAATCCTGCTCTTGTCCTTCCTGCTGCTATCCTGCTGGGACATCCTATTGATCAGCCACGTGAATCCTGTGGGGGCAGAAAACAGGGAGGAGGATGCAATGTGAATCTGAAGTAGGAAAAAAGATAGCTGTGATGTTTAAACTGGTATGATGTTAGCAATTTGTGGTCCCCCCAATGCAGTTGTTGAGCACGCTGTCCATTTGTAGAAAAACAGAATTAAGATTGCATATGATTTTATCCTGTTCAAGTTTTAAAGAATAGGTTAGTAGACAGACTCTTCTAGACTAGAAAATTATTAATTACAAAAATTCCCATGATCTTTCATACAGTTGGTAAAATTTCATGGTCAAAAATGAATAGTGTACTACTTCTTCAGAGTATAGATTATCACTTTCTGATTGCATTGACTTGGATTCTCAAATTAGGAATATTTAAAAAGCATTTGGAATAATATTCTAAAAGTCACTGCTCTTAAAATGGAAATGACATATGAGTTTTAAATATTTTTCAATTTAGTTTGGAACTGCTTTCGGATAAAGGTATTTGAATATCCCTAAGAAAGAGAGCTTGTCTACCAAAGAAACCAATTGAAGACTTGGCCAAACAAAAGTAATTTCCCTTTGCTTCTGTGTTCACAGGTACACAAAGTGCTCCCAGAACCAACCTCTAATCAGGCTCTTAAGAAGAGAGCCATTAAATGGGCAAGGTGGCACATGTCTACATGTGCATTCTGGTAGGCTGAGGTGGGAGGATTTCATGTTCTAGTCCAGCATGGGAAAATTTAATGAGACCCCCATCTCAAAATAAAAGTAAATAGCTAGGCATGGTAGAGAATGCATGTAATTCCAGCATTCCTGAAGGCTGACACAGGAGAATCACAAGTTTGAATCAAGAATCGGAAGCTTAGTGATACCCTGTATCAAAATAAAAGAGGCCTAAGGATGTATCTTTCTACAAAAGTCCTGAGTTAAATCTCCAGGGATACATGTGGGTAGAACTGGGTCAGCCCTCAGAATATTTACTGTTGGTTTTTATGAGGCTGAAATAATACATGAGTCTTAAAACAAGGAATCTAGAGAGAACACTTCAGACAAGTACTTCACTCGGTACTGTCACTAACAAGCTCAACAAACCCTTACACATGCTCATTTTTATAGACAATAGTGCCCTCTTGTGTTAATTTATGAATAAGCTTTTGGATGGCTTGCTACTGGGGTGAATTTTCAATTAGCCATGCTAACTGAGGCAAAAAACCTTGTTAGCTTCACAAGAACTGGACTGTTTTTCAAATCTGACTGAGGGAAGGATACACTAAGATCTGTTCTTCAGGTGTGGAATCAGGATTTTGTTCCATGCATATAATATGTGAATTTCAAAATATTAACTGGCAAAGCCATATTTGGTGCACATACCTATTTGTACCAAACTAGCTGATTAACTAGAACAGCTCATTCATTGTTGCCCAGGTAGGGAAACTAGTAACTATGATGACTACAAAACTCACAAGAAGTAACTGCAAAACAGCTAATTTTGGAATAATAGTTCAATAATCAGTGACAAAGAAAGGTCAGTTATACTAAGGTAATGAAATGGACTGGCTTTGCATACTTCAAACAAAGCAGATCTGGGAGAATTAAGAGGATTTAAGAAGAACCAAGACTAGAAGTATATGCAATAATTTTAAAGTTAGGAGGTTCATTTGGAGCCAGGGTTTTCATTGAAAGGGAAAACTAAAACAATAAAATTTCTGGAATTATTTTCTGCAACTGTAATGGAAGGGATTTTGAAAAACCTGTGTTTTCAGTTAGAACTATCCATTATGTTTATGCATATGCCTATAGAGAAAAATACAGCTAAATTTTGAAACTGGCTAACCCAAATCAATAAAATTATTAGGTGGTTATCACTATTTACATCCCAAAACACTATAGACTCTAAGGCTTCATTTCACAGATTATGATTTGCAAAGAGTTTTGGTTGTTTTTTTATTGTAGATTAATGTAAACTATATTTTAAGGCTTTTAGTGTCTCTTATTTTTAGCAAGTGCTTGACTATTTTAGAGAGCTACATGGGGGTCATTCTTAATTATTAGGAATATTAACTCACTAATCTGCTTTAAACATTATTAATGAATTCTCCAAACAGAAACTAGTTCTCCCTTTCTCAGCCATCAACACAGGTTTTCAAGATTTTTTTATGTCAAATAATGATGTCCAATGAATTTTCTTCACTGCAAAATGTGTAACTATATTTTTTCTATCAGCTCTCAGAATTGTCAACGTCTACAGAAGCCAACTCGCTAAGAAAGGAAGATTTGTTGATATGCAGATGGTAGTCTATCTGAAAGCAAGTAGGTTTTTTGTTTTAACACATAGGCTGAAGAGACACACAACAAACCATCTTTACAACATATATCTTTAATTAAATTGATATTGGTGGATTAAAATATTCAGTGACAAGTAAGGAAATAAGGTATCCTATGACTATTTATAATAAAATGTTTAAAATACAAAGGGTAAAAAGACCCATTGGATCTTTTGGGAATTGTAAAAGACGAATTACCAAGTTTTGTCTTCCCAGTTCTTATACAAGCACAACCACAGCAGGGGAATTTTTGTACAAGAAGCACCAAGAAAGAATCACTACATTTTCTTTTTGGTAAATTTTGTTTTTCAAAATTGGGGAGAAATTCACTCAATATTGGATGAGCAAAGGCAAGATGTAAAAAACATTAAAACAAGGGGCATCTGGTGTGAAGAGTGTTTTGAAGAGCATAACAAAAAAGAAATTGCTCCACTGGATATTATAATTTGACATGGAATATGAACTTTTCAAATTTTGAATAAAGTGACTAAAACAATCTATTTTTTAAAAAATCAAATAAAAATTTGGGGAAAAATATGAATGTAATCTCAGTAGTTATTTGTAGGAGTATAAATTCCCTCACATATAAAATCTTGCTGTCTGTATTCTAGGCTTTCTTATGTTTTCTGTAAAAAGTGATTCATGCTAGGTCACATCTAAATGACTTCAAATTTTGACCTATAGGGTTGTTTATACAATATACACATTCTTTACTTACAGAGCACAATATGTTTAACACTTTTATATTAAGAACTTGGGATACAGTAGGATTAGTAGCACCATGAAAAATTAATTCTTCCTCTGAACCACAGTCTTTTACTCAGTGTGATTTTTCCATTAATTGAATTTTAAATATGCCATTTTAGTAACTGGTCAAAATACATACTTTCATCTAATAATCCCCAGAGAAAGTCATTCTGAAACCCCAAAGTAAATTTCTTTCCTTATTTCATTCATAGAAAAATGACAGAGATATTGCTCTGGTACATTGCTGAGGTACATTTGAGTCCTCATGGTTACTAATCAGCATGCTGTCTTGTTCATATATTGTAGCACCATTGATGGCAGCAGTGGTAGAGTTGGGGAGAGTGAGACATTGCATCCTGGACATTCAATAATATATATATATATATATATATATATATATATATATATATATTGCATTTTAAAACACACATAATTCTTCAAAATGTTATGTCCTCTTCATGCATACTTGGCATCGGCTAATACGTGTCCTTAAGTCTCCTGCTTTCAGTGTTTCTGACTGAGGCTTACTGAAAAAAAGAAACAAGAAAATCAGATTCATCTTCTCTGATTTCAATTCATCCTTTCTGGTATTTTAATTTTATTATTTTTTCAAATTGATACCTAAACACTCTTCTCTCTTTGAAGTACCTCTCCTGATAACTTGATGGTTTAATTTTATTTTTTTAATTAAATTTGATGGTTTGCTTTTGACCAACATGACTATGTTAGTGATGGGTACTGGATAAGAACCTTTACTGCCCAGTCCTAGCCCAGGTCCGGTGAGTGTGCGGAGAGTTTCCTGCTACCCTGCGCCAGCAGGACCAGTCCCAGCCCAGGCGCAGAGTGGGCCGGACCCTCTCCCA